TTTTTTTTTTTTTTGGCTCATGATGAAATCTATATACATAAGACATTGTAGCCTCCACTATTTATAAGAAAAAAAATTGGATAAAATCATGAAAAAATATAATAAATAGAGAAAAATGAGAAGACACGGTTGCTCTTCTAGTTCATGCAGTATATCTTGGAATAATAACTTTTCAGTAACAAAAATACAAATTTCCTTCTATTTTGCCTACTTCCGTTAATTACTAATGGAAATTTAACGGGGATCTAACGGCCAGGTACTAACGTTGCTAACAGAATGAAAGTTTGAGTACTGATTTTGCAAATGTTAAAAAACGGGTACTGATTCCGAATCGAACTTTAGTTTGGGTATGGAAACTGCAATTTACCCTTAAATAATATTATAAATTAAAATCATTGAATGGATATGAATACGATTTATCTATGGGTAAAAGATATTCGTTAATATTTATATTTTATAAATACTCATTTAACAATTTAAACGAAATTGGGAATCAATTTGTCATAAAATTTACCTATATTAATTTATTGAAATGTTATATGAAATTTAAGAGCATGTTTGTATACAAGAATTCTCACAAAAAATTTCAACATTTTAATTCAACCATTTTTTTTAACTCAACTTTAACTCAACCTCACTATCATTAATATTATCAATATAATAAAATAATACCAACCAATCATTTATACACATCACATCAACCTTAATTCACTATTCATCCACTCATATTATTTTAACTAACAATCACATCAAATTTTAATTATTTTATTTTAAATATTATTTTAATATACCCACTAATAATTAACCATACTACATTTTTCAAAATTAACCAAATCGAACAAAAAAATCCAACAAAACCAAAAATTTTCATGTCCAAACATGCTCTAATTTGTTCAAGATTTCATAAAGCATGTCTATCTAAAATTAGTATACAACTTGTACGGTGCACGTAACTGAAAATAAATTACATTATATTCATTTCAAAATAAGTTTATTTTAAAAGATTTATTATGAAATTTGATTTGACTACAATCTGATTCCATAAAATAAATATTTTAATAAAATTTTATAATATATTTAAAAATCTATGTGAATAATTAATAAGTACAATTATAAAACTTTCATTGAATTTTTATATATATACTCCCTCTGTTTTATATTATTTGTCCTTCTAGTTAAAAAAAACAAAATTACTTGTAGAAATGAAGTAATTGTCTTATCTTGTACATTAGATTTTCCTAAATTTCCTCAATCTTATTTATCCTTTTTAACAAATTTTTCTCTCCTTAGTTTTTTACGAGTAGTTATCAATATGAATATTTTATATCTGTATCTACAAAATTTTAGGATTGATATAGTTAGAGATGTTAAACGGGCTAGCCTTGCGGTTTCGGGTTAAACAGTCCGGGCCTAAAATGCTCGGATTTAAACTGGCTACCAATGAAAGGACCTAACTCTAACCTTAGCGGGTTTCGGGCTAAACGGGCTATAATAATAATATGTAAAAAAACATATAACCAAATATGACAACGGTGAGTTCACGATTGTTTTCAACGGCTATTTAGTATTTACCGCTCTATATATATACATTTACACTTCATGTATGAACACTCGTACAAACTCTTAAGTGACATGTTTTTCTCAAAAGAAAAAAAAATGTTCAAACTATTACTTATAATTACCACTTTACTACTTATTTTGTCGCTTTGGAAATTTTCACGATATTGTATCTTACTGCTGAATTTATATTCTACCATTATTTTTCAATGTGTTAGGTCTTTGTCTTAAGTGTTTTCTATTAGCCGTTCTAATTGGCTTCAATACTTCGGTGTGAAGTAGAATAACGAAATTGTTAATAATTATCTTTCAAAATCATAATAACTGGCTACAACTCATAATTACATATGAAGTAGAATAGTAAAGTTGTAATATACAAGTCAAACGGGCTAGCCCTAGCGGGCTTCGGTCTAAATGGTCCGGGCTTAAAAAGCCTTGATTTAAATGGGCTACTAAATGAAGGCCCTAACCCTGTTTATCTTCGGGCTAAACGGGCCGGCCCGTCGGGCCGAGGACTGTTTAACATCTCTAGATATAGTGTTCTTATTTGATAGTTATCTAAAATGACAATTAATAAGCAAAAAGAAATACACACTCAAACGACAAATATGCAAAAACGGAGGGAGTATATAGGAAGTAAATTACTTAATACTGCAGATTAAGATCCTCGCGATTCGGCCGAATGTATGTTTGTCACATAATTTGTTAAATTTGGTGAGCATGCTATCTTGAATTGAATTTGTGGCTAATTATAAGTTGATTAGGAGATTTAGTAGATCGAAATTTTAGTTATGGGCTGGTCTATATCTTATATGGAAATTTTGTAAATATACACATAAATCTGGTTCTATAATCAAATGAAACTTTGAAAAAAAAAAAAAAAAATTAATAAAAAAATTTACACATAACCTATTTAAAATTTAGATTGAAAATTTTCAAATAAACCATGCAACTAATAAAGGTAATAACCGCAATATTTGATCAAAATAATTTTGCACATATATTTCATTGATTTGATTTGATTATTTTAAAAAAGAATTATCATTTTGAAAAATCGAACATAAAAATATATATTATATTAGCCAATTAACTTTATTATTTTTTATTTATTAATTACATATTTAATTTTTGTGTTGTTGGGTAACATTTTAACAAATCAAATATAAAAATGGGTATTATTTTACATAACTAACTTTATTATCTTTTATTTATTAATTATATATTTAATGGGGAATGAATATCCCCACCCACACCACTTATATTTATAATACCCATTATTATTTTTTTATTTATTATTTATATATTTTAATTTTTGTATATCTCATAGAAATGTCAATTTGTTTCGTTTATTTGTTTTTCCTTACAAAAATAATTCAAAGATGCTACTGGTAAGAAACCAACTGGCGTAGCAGGCGTGTGCTTTAAGTAATTATATATTTTAACATTCTTGTTATTAGAGATAATATACCCATAAACAATGCAAAAACGAAAAACACATAACTTATTTAAATTTGGATTGAAAATTTTCAAATAAATCAATAATAAATGCTTGGATTGAAAATTTCCAAATAAATTATGAAATTAATAAAATTAGTGCCGCAATATTTGACCAAAAAAATTATGTACATTAATTAAATTGATTTTTTTTTTATTTGAATTTTTAAAAAAAAATTATCATAAAAAGTAAAAACGAAATTTTTGGCGGAAAATCAGTTACTATTTCAGATAAATGTCAAACCTTTATATATATATAAAACTATATATATATAGATTTATTTATTTTAGTTTTTGGCTACTGTAGTATGTTTCAAGGATTTGTATTAAAGATGCAGGCATAAAGAAATAGTATTGTAAGCATAATGATTTATTTGCTATGTTTTCTTTTTCCAACTCCAGGATGGGGTCCGTATGCCTATTTTCGAGCATTAGAGGAATCTCGATCTTTGCCAGTTCAGTCGAGGAATGGTATTAGCGTGCAAGGTAGCGACTATCGTCAACAATCATCGACTAACAATTCGGTTAATCATAATTTTAACCCAAGCATTGATGCTATGGAGTCGGGACGAAGGTAGACTGGAAAATGCATTTTTTTTTTCTTTGATATTTAGGCTGTTAATTTTCCATTATTATCATCAGTTTGTTTGTAATGTTGTAGGTTTTTTTTTTTTTTTTTTTTTTTTTTTTTTTTTTTTTTTTTTTTGATTTATCTATGTGTAGAATATGCAAATTTATTTCATTTATAATCTTTATTCTCTATGCCACGAAATTTACAAAATATGTAAAGAAATGGTTCTATTTAATTTGTACATAATTTTATAATTGATTAGATTATTCTAATATACATTTTTGAGCAAATGGGTAATTTACATGTTTACTACACTTTATTGTAAACTTTTGAAAAAGATTAAAATGAAACAATACAACCATAAATAAACTAGCTTTAAATAAAAATTAATATAACTTAAAAAATAATTATAATAGCAGAAAATATAAATCATTCAGAACTGGTAAAATTTAGTATATTTTTGAATTAAAATGAAAAAGTTGATGTAAAATATAATATGAATTTTGAAGGTGAGCGATATGATTTCTCTTGAAGAATTGGCCAAAACAAGTGATTTAGGGGGTGATTGGATATGAATTCAACTAGGAAAAAACTAGTTATTTTTTTTATTGTTATTTAAATATAGTGTAATTCGATTTGCTGTTTAGTTCGGGACGGGAAGGAAGGTAAAGGCCCTCTGATCAAATCTTTGGTCAATTCCCTTAAATTTGAAAAAAAATTGTATGGTTAGTTGTTAGTGGATATATTAAAATGATATTTAAATTAAAATAATTAAAGTTGATTTGATGTAAAAGTAGGAGAAAATGATTGGAAATGATGGTTAGTTAAAATAATGTGAGTAGATGAATAGTGAATTAAAGTTGATGTGATGTGTAATAATGATTGGTTAATATTATTTAATTATATTGATAATTTTGAAATAGTGAGGTTGAGTTAAATTTAGGTTTTGATTGATTTTTTTAGTTGAAATCATAAACAATCACACCCATGAAGGCAAAACTGCCGTTTATGTTATTTTTATGAATTATTTTAACCTTACTTCTTAACTATGGGGAAATGGTACATTCTTGTTACGAAATCATTTCGTCGGGATTTGTAATCGTTAGATAATCATGTAACCGTCATGGATAGTTGATTTAACGGTTACAAATTCCGACTGAATGGTTTCGTAACAGGACCGTATTTATTTTTCTCAAAATTATTCAATCATTTATACTAAATTTTTCTCAAAAAAAAAAAAATTCTTCTCATCATATTTTTCCATTTATTTTTTAATTATTTATCGGATTTATTAAATTACTACTACTAAATTTGATTTACTAGACTAATTTACCTGTCATATTTATGCTTGTCTATTTAGCATGTGCACCTATTTTATCAATCCCATCAAGTAGTGAAGGTTTTGGTGTCTACAGGCCTTAAAGAACGGTTGGATTGTGTACTCATGTACAATCTATATCTATATAATTACTAGTTGATGCATTTAATAAAACCTATTTTCATTTCCCTTCAAAAAGAGTTACTTTTTTTTTTTAATTAATTACTCACTAATCTGCTAAAACCGTTACACCTTATTATATATATTTTTATTATTTATTTTTTTTACTAAATTAATTGTAAATTTGGTAGCAAAATATTCAAATGTGTAACGGCTAATGTTGGAACTTAAAGATGATTGGCACATTCAGAGCTGTAATCGTTATATTTGGTTGCATTGTTGGAAGAAAAATATAATTGACACATATTTTCTTTCTAAAAATCAGAAACACTAATAATTTTTTTATTTATGTTAATTTTCTTAACATATGCCACAAATATATAAATTATTTTATTCATGTTACTAATGTAAACGTTGCATGGTTAGAATAAAATTTAAATCTCAATTAATTTTAAATGATAAAAATAACTTAAGAAAAAGTACTAATTTTATATGATAGAAGTACATGTCTAATTAATGAATACAAAGAAAAACATGTTTTATATCTGTGCAAATGCACATGATTAAATACTAGTGGTAGAGTAATAGCATATGCTTCAAGGCAGCTTAAAGAGTATGAGAAGAACTATCCACACATGATTTGGAGCTTGCAGTAGTTGTCTTTGCACTTAAAATCTTGAGACATTATTTGTATGGAGAAAGGTGTGAGATTTTTACTGACCATAAGAGTTTAAAATATTTCTTCACACAGAAAGAACTTAACATGAGACAACGAAGGTGGATAGAACTGGTTAAGGATTATGATTGTGTTATTAGCTACCATCCAGGGAAGGCAAACGTTGTAGTTGATGTACTGAGCACGAAGTCGACACAACAAAATTTAATAAAAGTTTTCACTCAAGAGCAAGAACTACTTAATTTACAGAAGATGGATATTGATGTTGTTGAAAGAGGATCATTGGAAGTAAAGGTGGCATCTCTAATCCTCCGTCCCTTCTTAATTGAAAAAAATACAACAGGAACAACTCAAAGATGAATATCTTGCAAAAGAAAAGAAGGATCTTGTTGCAGGAACATCATCTGATTTTCACCTGTCTAAAGATGGTGCACTTAGATTCAAGGGTCGATGGTCTGTACCGAACGATGAAGATATCCGTAATGACATTATGAAGGAAGCTCATTCAACACCCTACTCGGTAACACTAAAATGTATAGAGACTTGAAAATGCATTACTGGTGGCCAGGTATGAAGAAAGACATAGCCCAGTTTGTCGAACAATGTTTAACTTGCCAGCAAATAAAGACGGAACATCAACGACCAGCGGGAACTTTGCAGCAACTATGGATTTTGTGGTAGGATTGCCCATAACCGTCAAAAGCCACGGTGTTATCTGGGTTATTGTAGTCAGACTAACCAAATTTGCTCATTTCTAACCTATCTGCTCTACTTATTCAATGGATCATTTTGCTCAACTCTACATACAAGAGATATTAAGACTTCATGGTGTGCCAGTATCCATTGTCTTAGACAGGGACTCTAGATTCTTATATGTTTTCTCGAAGAGTTTACATAACCGTTGGGAACAAGACTATCTTTCAGTACTGTTTATAATCCTCAGAGTGATGGACAATCTGAACGAACTATTCAAACATTGAAAGTATGCTCAGAGCATGTGTATTGGACTTTCAGGGTCTATGGAGTAGATTTTTGCCACTGATAGAGTTCTCCTATAATAATAGTTATCAGTCTACTATAGGAATGGCACCATATGAAGCATTATATGGGAGAAAGTGTCGATCCCCAGTACATTGGGATGAAGTTGGAGAAAGAAAGTTTTTGGGACCGACATGATTCGAGGAATGACAGAAATCATTGTACAAATAAGGAAGAGGATGACAATGGCTCAGGATCGACAGAAAAGTTATGTCGATAAAAGGAGAAGGCCGTTGGAATTTGATGTTGGTGACCGAGTGTTTATAAAAGTAGCTCCTATGAAAGGTATTATACGATTTGGAAAGAGAGGAAAACTTAGTCCGAGATATATTTGGTAATTATTTCATCACAGAAAGAATTGGTGAAGTTGCTTATAGACTAGAGTTACCTAACCCTATGTCCCAAGTGCATGTTTTCTTTCATGTCTCTGTTCTGAAAACGTATATACCAAATCTATCTCATGTTACAAATGGCGAGCCAAAAGGACTGAAGAATAACTTGAGTTACGAGAGGAACCGGTAAAAATTCTCAAGCGTGAGGTGAAACAACTACGGAACAAAAAAATTTCGTTAGTAAAAGTATTATGGAGAAACGAGTCAGTAGAGGAGGCAACATGGGAAAGAGAAGATGAAATGAGAGTAAGATATCCCGAACTCTTCAAGTAAGTGAAATTTTAGGGACAAAACTTTTATAAAGAGAGGAGGATGTAACACCCCATTTCTCGATAGTCAATAATTCATGCATTTTATGTATTAACATGCTCAACGTTCACATTTTATATTATGCT